TTAAACGAGTTATTAATAAATGCCATCCAAAACACAAAAGGAATTATTAGAAAATTGACGAACAGGGCAAATCTAATTCTAACCTCATGATAAAAGCAATTTGTATTCATGAATTGTGGATTAATGTAGTTTTTCTTTTTTTTACAAATATCATTTATTGGACAGAAAACTTAAAAGAAAACCCCGAAATCCTAAAAATATGAAATAATTCATTCAAATAAAATAGAAACAAATCCTGAGGTAATGTTTTTGAATCAGAATAAGTCGAAAGAAATGTTTAATTACATTTTCAGATGAGAACAATACGTAAACGAATGTCGAATAAGAATATTTGTTTTATAATAGATGTTTCCGACACAGAAAATAATAATGAATATTCACCCATTTATTGTTAATTCTAAAAATCAAAGAAATTATTGTGAACTCTGTGTTCTTCACAAGATGAAAGATTATGGTATTGCTGGTGAAATTTCTGATTCAGTCTTTCTTATAAAATCGCAATATAGATAGTTTCTTGAAATGTCAATCTTCTAAATATTTACCATTAATACTTGGACGTGTTTTTTCTTAATTTTCATAAAGAACCTTCCAGATGTAATCAGTTCTCAAATTGTTATCTATGCTAATGTCAAAATTATTTAACTGATCACAGTTTAAATTGGTAGCATTTAAAACAAAAATGACATGTTTTTAACTGGAGCAAGGAATGGCTTGTTAATTGAAATAACACCAATATACAACCGATCCCTTTTCATCGCCTGAGCACCATATTTACCTCCCATCAGGATGGCTTATACTAACTTCAAGGATAATGACTCATTGAACTTTCACGATATAACGTTTAGCGAAGACACGTATTGGAAAGATTATATTGAATCAAAGCGAGGTTTGCTGCTAGTGAAGTTCGTTCACTGTATCGTGCTAGATAATTTTTCTCTCTAGAATTTATCTTACATACGATAAGTCGACCATTCATCATTTATTTGGATACTGCTGTCAAATATAGTTTTATGCTCTAGCTATAAATTTAGATATTCTTGATAAAAGCCAAATAAGAATCTGAAATTATATTGGTCCTGATCTGGCATCTCGACTTCAGTTACTTTGTCATCGCCGTCACTTAGATTCACTGTGATTTTTCTATAAATACTTTCATGGTAATTGATGAACTTTCTTATATGGAACCTAGACGTTATGACTTTAAGCGTAGTACTAGATTGGCAACAAGGTCTCACCAATTTACTTCCTTAAGTTCAATGCTAACAGTTTTTTCTCTCACATTTCTCACTTATAGAAATCTCATCAGGCTTCTTCTTCCTCTGTCAATATTTCATGTGCCTTTTCTGTAAATATTTTCATAGTAATTGTTTTGGTGAAACTTTCTCTATGCTACCTCGAATTTATGAATTTAAGCGCAGTACTAGATTGGAAGATAGGTCCCATCATTTTACAGTTGAATTTTCTAAATATAAACGCAAGTTCTATGCTAACAGTTTCTTCTTTTGTTCTTCTTGTTAGAGTAGAACTTACGGTTACATCTAGCCATCTCAACTGTAAATCGATGCGACTTTGCTACCAATCTAGTACAGCGATTAAATTCATACAGGCTAGGTACTTTAGACAAGAGCACCTCGGAACAATTACTATGAAAGTAATACTTATAGTAATTACTATGCTGATAGTAATTTCTATAAATTATTAAAAAAAATAGAGGGATATAATTTTACAGTCGCGAGGAAAGTGACTGAATGCAAGACACCAAGTCAGTACCAGTAATATTGATGACGATTCTTTGGAATGTATTAATTGTCTCTAAATATATAGCAAAAGCACCGGTTCAGATGTGGCAGCTATATTCTATGCATGGACGAATGGTAGACTTATACACATGTATTATATAGCAACGGATTGCGAAAGGTTCTCCCAAACTGATCAATTGATTTAACATCAGCTTTTTGATGAAGGGTTCTGACCTAATTCCTTGAAAGATTTACATAAAGTTTCTTTAATGCATTCGTTTTGCACAAAAATAATTTGAACCACAATTCGATCTAAAAAAAAAATTCTGCCCTTAGTAAATGTGAAAACGCCGTACAAAGGTAAAAACATATAGAAAGCGCATTGATAGATACTAGACAAAATGCAAAAGTATACCCTGTCTTATATCATATGTATCTCTCTGAAGCCAACATATTAACGAGATTAAAAATTTCAGAAAGTAAAAGAAAACTCATGGATAGTTCCTTTATTTATATTGTTCGGAGGAATGTCTTCATCTTTATTGTCATATTCACGACGTTTCAGCTGTTGTAGGTTCTAGCCCTCTTCACGTGATAGACGTTGGAATTTCCTCAACCAACGCTTTTGGACACATGGCCCAGTAGATAAAAGGGTTGGTTTAATTAATCCACTGACTTAATCCAACGAATTGTGAGCTGAACAAAAACTTGGGGAATTGAGTTAATAAAGGTAACTAACTGAAACTGTGATATCCAGAAAAGGCATGGCACGTGGAACTAGAATATTTTCCCCCGCTAGACGAAATAAAGGGTTCGACTACAAGTTCCAAAGTATAACGGCTGAAACATCGTGAATATCTCCATAAAAATGAGGAAAAAAGACCAAACAATGTAAATAGTGTAAATAGTTAGAATACCTCATGACAGAAATATAGACAAAACTCATGGATTAAAATATCAATAATAATAATAATAATAATAATAATAACGTCAATTCACTTTATTTTTTTTTAATCATTACACCCAAAGGAAGGTGATAATGCCATTAAAACTCAAGGGGCTATAGGAGGGAGCCGGAGTCCCAACTGGTAAAATGGATAAATATCTCCTGTTCAAAAGACCGCCAAACAAATAAAAAATTACGTGACTTAGCGCACATTATAGTTTTTTTTTTCCTTTCCTTATCCCCCGAGAAATTTTTAAGTGTGCATGGGCAACCTTTTCCGAGCAATGGGCCGCATGAGAGATGGTTCATCATTAGGCGGGCCACATTACTAAAAAAATCAAATTAATATTTCGTTGAAAGAAAAGCGGCCATTTTCACTACATAAGATCATATGCGTCAGCATCCGCCTTAGAAATGGGCAAAAGTTGATATTTGGAAAAAAGATTTTTCTCCAATTTGAAAATTGAAGTTTTCGTATAATATTATCACTGATGACACTGTAATTAACACACCCTGTTGCATGTGTTTTATTTCTAACGTATTCTTTTAAAAAATACAAAAAAAAATGTATTTTCTCAAAAGAAAATACAGATTTCTTCTGCAGAGAAAAAAATTAATATGAACGTTTCTTTTTACTGAAGAAAAATATTTTTTACACGTATGATCTTCCTTAATGAAAATCGCCAATGTTTTAAAATGCTGCAAATGTTACTTTCAAGGAAAGTTTAAAAATCGAAGAAAGATTATACATAATTATTATTATGTATAAGATTTATTCGAATTGTACTCACAATACGACAGACATTAATAAGTAAGGGAGATTACTCAGGAAATAATAGTTATTCTCCCTTTGACAAAAGCTTCTCTCAACAATTTTGCGTGAGAGTATGTGAGTGAACAAGTGAGCATGAAACAAAACGCAACATTTTAATAAACGCTATTTTTCTCATTAAATTAGGCGTGTCATTCAGAAGACGAAACGTGTTGCAGTTTTCCCATTACCGTTTAAAAGCGTTCTAATTTGAACGCATTTTTCTCTATATAAATACAGAGCAGGCTACTTTTTTTAAAAACTTCTAATGTCTAATGTTTGTATCACTTCGACTTCTTTTGCCCTTTATCTGATATGAGTGCTAATCGGTGTGATCTTCTACTCTAGTTGAACTGCTTCAAGATTCGATGTGTTCTTTGTTCATATATACTCTTCGGTATACGCCTTTCTATTACGTTGTATCAAATTGATTCTTCTCCTCTGATCTCCTTCAACGGGAGATTTCTCTCCACAGATTTCCCGTTCATTGGATATATTTCTTTTTACCAAATCATTCTCTGCTAATCCTAGAGTTGGTCTGGCTTGAATAACCAAATACCAGCATTTTATTTTAAATATTGAACCCGCCAACATTTCACCAACGAACATGCAACGTTCAAAGGCCATTAATTTGCCTTTGTTTCTTATACTAATACATGGAATTAGAGCCAGCAGGTCACCATAGCTATATTTAAAAGTCTATATCTATTCTATTAAATGTGATACACGTCATTGGCTGATTATAAATCTTACTTATTATAAAACGCAGATTGTGTGTGTGTGTGTGTGTGTGTGTGTCTGTACGTTTATATAATGGATCGGATTTCCTACATTTTTCAAGCGATTTCAACAAGACTTCACAGGACTACGTAAAATTACCTTGCGGTAGTTCTGACAGCGCCAAAAAATTGGAAAAACACAATTGTTTTTGCACGAAATCAATTTGAAAACACGATTAAGAGGCATCGCGAAAATGAAAGGGGGACAACTCATATCGAGTTATACTTATAAAACCCAGGTTGTTTGTGTGTGTGTGTGTGTGTGTGTTCGTTTATATATGGGATCGGATTTCCTACATTTTTCAACCGATTTCAACAAAACTTCACTTTTTTTTGTCAGGCACTGTTTCTTATTGTCTTGCACACTTTTTTCTTTATTTTTACATTAAGAATGCTTTAAAAATACCATTTACAAGACAATTGTTTATAATAAAATTCTATTCAATCGGTAGACTCATAACGATTGAAAACAATGTTTTGTTTGAGTTTGGGTTTGACCAATTCGTAAAAAAAAATAATAATTAAGATATGCGTGTCCGTCAACCTTAAACAATAATCTTTGTCAATTTTATTTTTCAGTTTTTATGATGGTCGATACTTGATCTATCTCTTACTGTTACATCCCCGGGCAACGCCGGGCTCTACCGCTAGTCTGTATATATTTTGTCCACAAATAGGGGTAAATTGAGGCGAATCGGTTAAAATCGACATTTCTCTAGATAATCATGGTTAATCAGATTCTTTTTTAACAAATACAATCTAATATAAGCAACTGCGGCACAACAATTAATTATACAATAGTTAAAAAGAAAATGAGTAATGCTGTTGTAGATGGAATTATATTTGCTAAGGAAAGGAATGAGAAATTTAAAAACGCAAGGGATATAGAAAAATGCACACAGAAAACAGCTATAAAACCTTAAAAGTTTAAAATTTCAGCGTTCCAATATTTTCAGCGTTTCCTGTTTTTGCATAATTATGACCGACGCCCCCGCTGTTAAAGAAATAAGTTACGTTGTTCGGAAAATAATGTCCGGTTTTAGAATCAGCATTTATTTCTGAGTTAATGTATTAAAGTGTGTTTAGATCAGTCAAAATTGCAAGCCTAAATACCTAAACATTTCTGCCATTGGGTTCCAAGAGTAGTTATATCTTTACGATTTGGGAACCGAGAAAATTCGGATATCTTCTTTGTAAGGGAATGTCATTTAGCATAAGACATTGTCAACACGCTTGAAAAAGGTGGTAGTCAGTGGGTATGAAATCATGGGAATATGATGGATGTAAGTGTCGTATTCCAAGTCGGTAATATCTATCTATCTATCTATCTATCTATCTATCTATCTAAGTCTTTTAATTATCTATCTATCTATCTATCTATCTATCTATCTATCTATCTATCTAAGTCTTTTAATTATCTATCTATCTATCTATCTATCTAAGTCTGTTAATTATCTATCTATCTATCTATCTATCTATCTATCTATCTATCTATCTTGGATTCTTTCTTTTTGTCAGTTTTAATATTTTTTCCTCTTCTAATTTATATTTTTCCTAATAATATCATATTTCACACACTTTCTTTCTTTCTTTCTTTCTTTCTTTCTTTCTTTCCCCTATTTTCTCATCATCTAGTATTCATATTCTCTTTATTCTTATCTTAACCTTTCCCTCCCTTGATTTCTCCTCCAATAACCCCTCTCACTCTTTTAATATCTATCTATCTATCTATCTATCTATCTATCTATCTATCTATCTTGGATTCTTTCTTTTTGTCAGTTTTAATAGTCTTTCTTTTCCTAATTTGTATTTTTCCTAATATTATCATATTTCACTCTCTTTCTTTGTTTCTTTCCCCTATTTTCTCACCATCTGGTATTCATATTCTCTTTAATGTTATCTTAACCTTTTCCTCCAATAATCCCTCTCACTCTTTTAATATCTATCTATCTATCTATCTATCTATCTATCTATCTACTTCAATTATTTCATAATTGTCGATTTTTCTACGTATATGCCTCAAACATTTCATATTCAGTCAAAAATACGCACTTAAGTAGGCGACGGGTCGGGTCGTCAGTAATGTAATTTGACTTAGTTCATCAGAGAGTTTCGGGTCTTTAAACATCATGCACACCATCACCAAGTCAATCCAATCAGGGAAGATCAATCCCTGGTTCCCCCTCGCAATAAAACGCTAGCAGATACTCTGGTCTTTTTAATGAATTAGACGTAAAAAGACCACGTTTTCCGCACACCCGATTGGATATATATATATATATATATATATATATATATATATATATATATACAGAGAGAGAGAGAGAGAGAGAGAGAGAGAGAGATCCATCCACACAGTTTCGCTGTATCACAGCTCAGCAGTATGATTAGACATCCGATTGCTTCAATATATATATATATATATATATATATATATATATATATATATATATATATATATATATATATATATATATATATATCGCAATCAGTTCATATCTATGTTAAACAGTTCATATCTGTAAAATATATCTCAATCAGTTCACATCTATCTATCTATCTCGTTATGTCCATATCTATCTATCACAAACAGTTCATATCGATCTTTCTAAATCTATCTATCTATCTATCTATCTATCTATCTATCTATCTATCATATCTGAATCAGGTTTATCTCAATCTGTTCATATATTTGTATTTTGATAAAAAAATCACGATCAACACTCTTTCAATGAAAATATTTTTTACTTTCGGATTTCAATCTTAAGACATATAAAGATATGCTTATATTCTATTCTTCTTCTCTGGGGTCAACATGATCCATTTTTTGAAACAATTTTAAGCACGACATGAACATATATCAAAGCTACATATATCCCTTCTTTATCCTCTGCACTTTCAGGTCAGTTTGCATTTTTATCCTGTACTGGTTTTTCGCTACTAAATCGAACAACCTCATTCTCCAATTTCTTTTTTGTGCGTGCCAACATATCTTCTATCTTCGCGACCATGTCGACCTTAAGGTAAGCATCCGTTGCCCGTAACTGTTCGTTGTCTGCGCCATTACTTGCCGGTCATAGTAAGTATCTTATCACCCTGAAGACCTCAACCCCATAATCTTAAAAAAAAAAAAAAACAAATAAAAGAAAACGCTCCTCAGCATCCTCTCAGAAGACTGATCATCTATAATCCAACTTCAAACGAGCCCTCAACTCGTACATAGCACGGTTTGTTTTGGCTTAAAGCCAGCGGATGTCCCATTTACTTCCGGAAGAAAGCCGGAAGTTAGCAAGTCTGGCTCCATGCCAGTAAAAGTTTTGTAAGAGAGAAGCCTTACTGCTGTAGGATAACATAGAAACTCAATGAATGTGTGTGCTAGGTTTGTAAAGATAAGATGCATGATTACAAACTTGGTTTCGGTGGAGCCAGGGTAAGAAGAAAATGACAAAGAAAGAAATATTATCAAAGGATCAGAAGTATCGCGATTGGATACTATTTAAATTTATCAGGTCAGTAGCCCACTGGGGGAATATGAGCTATATGTTAGTATTGGTAAGCCTAGTGTTTGATGGCTTAGGTCCTTAACACAGAGGTTCATATTGACATGCTTGATATACATTGAGCTAATTGGTTAATCTAGACATACCCGCAAATCTATTTTTAATTCCTGACCTTATCCTCCCCACATTTACTTTAGGAAGAAAGGTAATGATTTGTTTTTAAATTTCCCTAAGAAATCAATTAATAACCAGTTACCTACCCTCACCTGAAGAAGTACAGTGATAGTATTGAAACATGAAAGATTTTGTGTAGCGATTTCAAAATGTTTTTATTATAATCTATTATAATAAAAATATAATAATAATATTTTGCTCTACTTTTTATTGAGCACATTTTTTTTTAAAGCAAATGCTACGAACTGTGGATTTTTATTCTATTGGTTCTTTCCTTCATTTGTATATATATATATATATATATATATATATATATATATAATAGTGGACTCTCCCGTCGGTTTCGACCTATGAGGATCTGCCATCTTATTGATTCAGTTATGAAAGTGTATGCGCTAACCTTAAGTGACATTTATGACCCGCTAGTGATTTACAAAAGAGGTCGCATATGGAGCAAGTGCGAGGATTGTGAGATGAGATCACTCTTAGATTGGTTGACCTTTTAGATCTTGCTCTCGCTTCTTGAATATGATTCAGACAAGCAGATTGAAAACTGCTGAGTCCACTAAAACACGTTGATCTCCATTCTACCCGCTTCAAAGATAAGCGCTGAAGAGTGTTTTCAGCCAGTCTTTGTATCTTAGCCATGGGCATCCTATATTCCTGTAGCCCTGATCTAACTGCCTGTACATTAGGATCTTGGGTATCCGGTCATCAGACATTCTAAAGACATGACCAGTCCACCGTAACTGAGACAGTATGATAAAAGTCTCGATTCCTCCAATATTGCACCTATTAAACAGGTCTACGTTAGATGTCCTATCGTGAAGCTTAACTCCACAGAGTGCACGCAGGCAGCTTTTATGGAAAACATGTAGCTGGCGTATATGGTACCTGTATGGAGTCCATATATATATATATATATATATATATATATATATATATTGTGTGTGTGTTTTTGTGTGTCTGTGTGTGTGTGTGTGTGTGTGTGTGTAAATAATAAAAACTTATTAAAAACTTATCAAAAAATTAAAATTTCAGACCCACTGGTTTGTATATTATTATTCTTGTTTTATTATTTAAATTAGGTTACTCGACTAGTTTCGCTCACCACGGTTGTCTCATCAGGATGCATAACTGTCACTGTAGAATTTACTTATTGCAATGTACAAAATACCAGGAACAATATGTGAGAAAATCTGGCCTTTTCTCTACTAAGGTAATAATTATCGGAATCGGATGAAGTTGGCTCCCAACGAAAGATTTTTACCTGTAGAATAAAATTTCCGCCTAGAAAAACATGATTTTAATAGCCATGCAAAAATTCACTATTTTTGAAGGAACAGAAATAGACACAAAGATATATTTAGAAAAAAACAAGGAAGAATATGAAGACAAATGGATTTTGTGCCTCAAAAACTTTGTCCGGACAGATTTAACAACAGACTAAGAATTAATATATATTTCTCAACCACCCTAGGCATACATGCTTGCGGAGGTGTTGAGGTCTCCTACATGCGCACACTGAAACTATTATATATACATATATATATCAACCCCGACAAAAAAATAAGGAGATAAACCTGAGACTCATAAATACCCAGCCTCTCCAAGGACTGACCAAAAATTAATGATAAAAAAATGAAAACTACATGTAAAGGACAATATATATATATATATATATATATATATACTCCAAAATTGAGGATGAAATGGAACTAATGTCTTAAATTTAATTACAAAATTAAATTCTAAGATTTTAGCTTCCATTTTTGAAACTTGGTTAGAACTGTGTAGCGAAAAAACATATTTTAAATCAATTAACTTATAATATTAATGCTCTGTAAGTTTACATTGAGCACTATTTTGTAAAAATAAAAATATCTATAAGAATACCGGATTATATAACTCTTCTTTCTTTTATATATATATATATATATATGTATATATATATATATATAAGCAAATGTAAATGGATATAGATCCGACAGAATGAAGAAAAATTTGGAAAAAACAAACAAAAATCCTTAAATGCAATTATGTTGTTTTTGATAAGACGTCTGACGTTTCGTTTTTGTCCATTCAGTTCAATTTGACAAAGACGATGGACAAATTTATCCAAAACAGAACTGAAAATTTTAAAATGTCATTTCCGTTTAATGAATATTTCAAAAAGTCTTGAAAATGAAAAATTTATTAGGTTCTAAAATTCTTATGAAATTAATCTCGCTAAAGGGGAAATATTAAAAAACCAGACGTGCGACATTTCATTCATTTTCGTAAATCTCGTGTTTTCGAACATAAACTGCCTCGGAAATTTTAACAATGCTTTAGTTTGTTTGATTCCGTTTTTTTTCAAATAAAAATTTTTTACCAAACTTTTTTATATATATATATATCATTGTAATGTGTGACTGTCATTGTGTAGTGTGTGTGTGAGCGGTCACGTGACGCATAAGAAAATCGGTCGATATCAGAAGTATATATGAGGAGCCGATTTATATATATATGTATGGAAAAGAGTATATAAGAAGGGTATGTATGAATTATCGAAGAACTCCTGACAGACCCACCCCAGTTTTGAGAATGAGAACCCAACCGAAAAATTTTCGGACCCAAAACCCTGACGAAAGTTTTGAGCTCTTGGACGACAAGCAGAGATTCAAACCGCGTATAGCTGACCAAGATTCACGCACGCTTTGCCAACCAAGAACAAGTAAAGAGCGACTTAGAATCAGACCACAGAAATAAGTTTCGACTCGCCAAAAGAGAAATGGATTTCTTAGAGAGCAGACAACTTGAAGCCTTAAAAGTTTGTGTGAGAATGTAGATCCACAGAACGGGTCGGGGAAGTAGACATAGTCCCTATCCTGTTAGAATAAAAGTTTGTTATTTTTCTTTGAAACTTTGTGAAATTTTCTTTTATCCAAAATTCAGCTTGCATTACGGCCCCAACCCCTGATCTCGTCTGTCTATAACAGTTAGACAGACTGGGGATCAGTGCAGTGAACCAGGCGTTGGAAAAACAGAATAAATTCCTACCCGAATGAAAAGGGTTAGAACGTCGCCGCGGTGGATCAGGATAAACGTCAATTCAAATCTTTTAAACACTCCATCCTTTGTCAAATTGAACTGAATTGTGTCTTGAAAAAGGTTTAAAACCGAAAACGCAGACGTCGACATTTCATTCATTTTAAACAAATATAACTGCATTTAAGGATTTTTGTTTGTTTTTCCAAATTTTCTTCATATATATATATATATATATATATGTGTGTTGTGTGTGTGTGTGTGTGTGTGTGTATATATGTGTATATATATAATCATATATATATGTAATATATACAAATGTATACATGAAAGAGAGGAGAAAAAGAGAGAAAAATCAGTTCACACCAAGCCAATAAAGCCAATAAGCAGCAATGGATTACAGAGTGTTAGAAAATATGAAAAAGAAACAAAATTACGCAGAGAGAACAGTTAAAAAAAGTGCTGAGAAAACAGAATAAATCCTGTTAAAACCCTGTTAAATCCTGTTAAAACTCTTTTTAAACACTTCCCAGTGTCTATAAAAAGCAGATTTTCTAATCAAACAAATCAAACAATGGGGAGTGCCACTAGCACGCAAGCGGTTACAGAGAGTGAGAGTAAGAGTAAAGAGGTGTGTTTGGGACAAGGGTAAAGAGAAGGACGGGGTCAAGGCCAAGGCATCGGAAGATGTCGATTGGCATTACATTTGAATATTTGAAGATTACAGCTATCATGACAGCAAGTGATAAGGAGTTCCAGTGACAGTAGTTGCAAGAATAAGAAGCTGTTTCAGTAGAAGGCTACATTTACTCGTTTCGACAGTGAAAGGATGGGACCGAGATGCCAACATAGTAGGACGCATAACTTCACGTAATTTGGGCACCGGTGAAAGTAGCTTGTCGGAACAGTTGACATGAAAATACTTGTAAAAAAGACAGAGGGAAGCCCCAGCATCTCTGTGAGATAGCGATTGTAGACGGGATGCAAGATCAGAACCATGCACGTTGCATATCCTTTTCTGGATTTTGTCGAGGACCTTGAGATGATTAGTGGGAGAACCAGACCATATATGGAAGCAGTAATCCTTGCAAGGACGAATGGTTGATTTGTAGATTTGAAGGATGGACTCAGGCCAGAAAAAAAACTTCTGACGCGACAAAGAGAGCCAACTTTCCTTGCGGTAGATAAAACTATAGATTCAATGTAGTTTTTCCACTTCAGGTCAGTGGACAGCGTGAGACCAAGCAGGCGCAGAGAGCGCTCTCGTGGAGTTGGCCATCAGCCATCCTTTTGGGAGGCCGGAGGTGTCTCTATGGTGG